ACCTGCGACCCGATCGACCTCCCTCAGACACGCACCTGGAGCCGATCTCCTCATCCGCAAGGCGACGACGACCAGCGGCTTCATTCTGTCGCTTCAACCACGATTTGTCAGTTTTCGTGGACCACCGTGCGCGAGGGTGCGTCCGCCGTCGACGTGCTGGTCAAGGATCTTGTCCTCAACCTCCCTCCACACCATTCCCATATCCCACACCCTCCGCACGAGCCGGAGAATGTGCTGTCGATCACGGTGAGGGAAAGCATTCGGTTACGCTTTGATGGAAGACATCCTGGCTTTTTGCTTTTCTTGCGTGTAAAAGGGGGGGGGGGGGGGGGGGGGCTGTCTCAGAAATGATACCAGAAAAAGAATATTTGACACACAGCAGAGCGTGGGTGAGTTGGGATGGATGCTGGAGGGAGGTAAGAGAGAAGCAAAAGAGACACCTGAGGAGGAACTGATGAGCACAAGGTCATCAAGAACCCTATCACCGACCCATTTACCACCCAACTGTCGGAAGGACACTCTGGTCTGGGTTTCGATGCCCCAAGTCGTCCGCGTCCGCGACTGCGCCGATCGATACCTTGGATCCCAACGACAGCAATATGTGTCTTTGCCAAACATACAAGGGCGGGAGCGCGAAATGACAAGGAAGAGGTCGGAAGGGGAGAACGAAAAGCTCAACTGCGCAACCTCAACAAAGAAAATGATTCGACTCTTTTTGCGGTTCGATTTCAACTCAGAGATCCGGTAGGGGTTCAAGACAGTCGCCTGCCTGGGCAAAATGGTAAACGCGCTGATATCATGCTGACCAGCCTCGTCTTGGTGGCAGGCAGGGTCCTCGAAGTCGCAGTTGAAATGCCTACGGTACGCCCAAAGATCCACGCTTGTCTCGCTTCTCGAAGCACTTGTGCCTGATCTCTCGAGTGCGACTCTTGCCTCGGAAGCGGTTCCATCCTTGAAGAGCATCATCCTCGTGAATAATTCCTCGATCCTCGGGCAGGAGATCCTACACCTTTCCGAGCGACAACACCCATTGGCATCGATAGACACAGGAGACGGACACTCGGAAGCCGCCCGCCATCCGCATCTCATATCTCGCCGGAGCCCTGCAGGGATATATGCTTTTGAAGTTGCCAATCCTACCCCTACCGGTTCAGGGATCTATCGGAAATCTCCCGCGGAGGATTTCTTCAAGCGTTGGCGGTAGATTGGAGAGCGTGCCCCCTTGAAGCGCAACGTATATCTGGCATGCGCCGCCATCCTTTGGTGCCAATGAACGACCAATTTGTCCGCAAAACCGTTGCAAGATTCCATTAGCGCCTTTTTCGAACACTCTCTCACACTCACACGAGGTACTCACATATGAGAGACACACAGAGGCAGAGGTAAGTTATCAGTCACCCGATGATCGATCCCACGACACACGACCATGTCCGTCCGCAACAAGCACGGCCGCAGTGTGGAAGCTTTTGCAGGTTTTTTTCATCTCTGCCGGATCCAAGACCTCTAAAAGAGTCGCCGACAAGGGGGTATGTATGTTTCGGTCTCTCGTAGTAGAAGTGGCCAAGGGAGAGAGGCAGGCCACTTCCGGCAGAATAGTGTAATGCGGGACACGGCAGCTAGCTCTGCGGGTTTGATTGGAAAACTGAAGCTTTCCCCCATTTGAGAATCCAACTAAGAGCGAGCGTGAGGTTTATATAGAGATGCTGTATCTTGACTGCGAGACTGGGACATTGAAGGTCTCTCTGTAGGGTAGTATATGCTGCATTGTGAAGATCTCTCTCTCTCTTATCGTACCATCTCCAGGGCTTGAAATCATGGACGTTCGGAATATCTGGTCGACTGAAGACACGCCGGTTCGACAGCCCGAGTGGTCCTGAAAGTGTCTAGCCAACCGTCAAGGAACTCGATGGAAAGACCGCAATCGTCAAACTATTCCATTGGGTAAGGTGGAAGGGATCCCAGCTGAGGAGACCGCTTGGGCAGAACATGGCCACAGCAAGTCTTGACTTGGGATTGTTCGTCCCATGCGGATTCAACAAGCATATCCTTCAAGAGTCATGTCATGTTCTGTAGTGAAAATGATCTTCCAGAGCAATTTGTCTGATTTGTTTTCGACAAGTTTGATGGCCTGATTGCATGATTGAACACTTTTCATTTTGGATCAAGGCGGGGCTCATCGCCAAGTCAATTCCACCACCACTCAGGCCCCAAGAGCAGAGGGGGAGTTGTGATGCAAGCAGTCAATATATATCTTCTCGCCTAATACACAGCACGAAGATTATTATTCCTGATGAGTGTTTGGGACTTTCTTGTGGTGCACCATCTGTGACAGTTAGTTGTATGAGACGAGACGAACGTGAGGCCCATCTCCGGTAGGCAGCCATGGCTTGTCGAAATTCGTCGATATAGACAGAGTCTGCCACGCCACCACCGTCTGCGAGGAGGACCATGGCTCCCCCTTCTCAGAAAGAGGAAATCCAGGACAAAAAAATGTCCACAGATCTCATCTCCGATGGCCTGCCTGTGTACAAACAGACTTTTAACTGCTCCGAGATCGATAATCGCGCAATAGTGAAAACTTCCGCAAGAGCTTATGGGTTAGGTCAGGATCCGGGAAGGTAAAATTGTTCGATCGGTATTTTGCCTGCCCCCCCCACCAAAAAGACTAGACTGGAAATGACAAAAGGTAAAAATTTTTCCCGCGTCGTGAACAAGAGTTAGTTGTTGTCTATGGATGTGCAAGGATGAATCTGAGGCAACGACCCCCACTTATTATTGCCTGCCTGTGGCGAACAGCAACAAACACACACGGTGGTAGTTTACCGATATACGGGGTGGGGGGTACAAGACGAGAAAATGCCGGTCGGTCGGTCGGTCGGTGTGAATTAAGGACCGTCCGGATAGAACTGACTAGTGGGAGAGAATACATGATCGGGACTTGACGAGCATGATAATGAAACATTGGAAAGGAAAACCGTGATTCGCAACATTATCATAATCGCTTATGCTGGTATCAACCCGTGAGTTTTTCAATCTTGCCACGGAAGACGCGCTCACAATTGCGACCAGACAGACGGACAGACAGACCTTGAAGGGTGTTGGAATAGGATCGATCGATAGTTGGCTGCTGTATATATATATAGCTAGCCCTGACAATGGGGCTCGAATCGAATCGAATCGAAGCCATTGTCTGCAGACACCATCTTGCCAGAGAAGGCCTTGTTCGGTAAGTTAGACGTCTGGAGCAGGCAAATGCCGAATTATTAAAATAGCCAGGAGAGCGATCGATGGTCTGTCACGAACCTGGTTGTCAGAGCTGCACCTGCTAAGCATCCTGTATGGCTCAATCAATGGTGTTGTGCTTCCTCAGTCACAGATCCTTTATATTGCATGAGCTAGCTGGGCTGAGAGTAGAGTACGCAAGGTATAAATGAATAGAATAGTCAAGTGAGTGACTTCAGAACAGCCATCGTGAAGTAGAACTATGTCATGAGTTGGCAACCAGAGAGTGTAACTATGGAAAAGGGTAGTGAGTGCAGCTATATAGTTGTGAGGCTGTCCCGAATAGCCAACGTAGGATGGTATGTTAGTATGTTATGTCATCAGGGTCGGAATATTTCCTTTCCCGGAAGTCACGTGCCACACACGTGACCCAAGCCTTTGTTACCTTGTGTTCATGCTCCCTGCTCAAGCCACCCTGCTCGGCAGACCTTCTCTTGGGCATCCCGCAGTAAGACCGTTTCTAACACACTGGTCCCTTGGGCCACGTTGATCACGGTGCCACTTGAGATAATTGTTCACAACAAACAGAACCTCAACCTTTTTCAGATAGGTCCTTCGTACTGCATGCAATTCAATCAATTCATTCAATGGCCTGTTGAGGCCTGTCCGTATCGATTAGATCTGCGACCCGTAATATGGTCAATAGGTTTCCAGATTCATCTCGTGCCCCATATGGCTTCTTCGATCAACAACACTTTTATCTCGGCATTTCGGCCAGGACGGTCTCGTTGGGTTCGACATGTAAGAGTAAAAAAACCCTTCTTCCGTCGGATAATGAAGACCACGTAATAATTCCTCACCTCTTTGCACTGTAGCACCAAGGCAACAGAGAATGGATGCGACTGTAGTACGAATGACGTGTAGCTCAGTCCAGGGAGACACAGGTATGTATGTATGTATATTGACCTGCCTATGGGCGCCATGGCCTTTGCACCTTGACATGAACGTGGACTGCAGTGCATCTGAAACCGGTGTGACCTGACACAAGTCCGTTCTGAACACTGTATTCCGCACGGTGGCTCGGGTGAGCGGTTTCTGGGACTTCACAATCTCGATACAGGAGGACTTGGCCATGTCGTGGACTCAATGCTTACCTGGTAATGAGGAACGAAGAGGATCGAGGCGGAGAACAGCCAGATAGGTCAGGAAGAGGACAAGAGAGATAGAGAGAGAGAAAGAGATGATAGATATAGATAGATAGATTCTAGTTACTCTGCAGTAATCAAAAAGCTCGTCGTGTGCACTGCGCATGGGTTCGCATAGCTGGGTGTGATAAATATATGGTCCATAATGGCGACTGTTCCGCCCGTAACCAAAGTCAAGTAAGTCCTCCTCCTGCAATTTCCAAAATCCGTACCACCGTTGATTCCAAGCTCCCCCTCCCCCCTCCTCCTCGCATGGCAGACATTGTGGTAGATTTCCTAATGTTCACGAAAGAATTAGCGGCCTTCGACGAGGACTCAGAGAGAAAGAAAGCTCAGTCACACGTCCATGGACGGAGCCCGTGTGTGCTGCCTTGTGTCAATGATTGAACCACTTACCAACTGTCGAGCCACAACATGTGTCTTGAAATCACCACATCAGGTCCCCCGGAATGTAAAGAGATATAGCAATAGAAGCAAGATATGACGATAGAAGCAAGAAATAACAATAAAGGCAGAGAAGCGTAGACGAGAGAAATAGATAAAGAGAGGCTCGCCGTCCTGTGGAGGGACAAGTCATTCGCCGATGCCGCCGCCGATGCCGCCGCCGCCGCCGCCGATGCCGCCGCCGCCGCCGCCGGGGAATCTCTTTTCATCGAGGTGGGCGGCGATGAAATGTGTCAAATCGTTGACCACTCCACAACAAGTTGGTGTCGGCAAACCGGTATCCCGAGCGATCTCCACCAACCTGAATTTCACAAGAGTGAATGTCGATTTGACCCTTGCCATGATTTCTTCCGAGACCTCTCGATCCTGCACGCGAGAGAGCCTCGACAGGAGAGCATCAAACGTGGCCGGCCATTCACGCAAGAGTTCTTGTTCCACGTGTCTCCGGTCATCCCGCAACCGTTTCAACACCTTGTCGTCCAGGAGGGGGACAAAAGGTTCTAGAAGCACAGGTACGTCCTCGTCGGCCAACAGGTTGTTCCGCAGTTCGTACGTGGCGCTGACCAGGGCTCCGACGAGGCTTCCGGTCGAATGCGTGTTGATGCCGATCAAGATGCCACCCTCCATAGTGATTGTCCCGTGAATCGTGCCCGCGGGCATAAATAGAGCGTCGTCCATCGTGAGACGCAAGAGAATTCCACCCGAGAGTTTTGTCACCAGATGTCGAAAGGCTTCGCAAGGCTTCATCTTCTCGGTCTTGAGGAGAAACTCGATATTTTGAGCGCTGGCGGGCCAACAGGCGATCAACTTGGTGCAGTTTCCGAATACCGCGATGAGCCCGTCTCGATTGGTGTCGAGGTGAGGACTGAAGACGCTACCGGTAGGAGTGACATTACAGGCCATTGGTACATCCGCTGCGATCGGTCGATATTTCGTGAAGAGCTCCCTGGGGACTTTCATACGCTGGCCCGGAGCCAATTCAACGGGGATGTTGTGGAGGAAGCTCTGCGGTTTGGAGATATCCGGGTTCGTCATTGTGGAAAAGGTGGTGAGGGAATGATCGTCGCCGCTGAATGAGCCATCATAACCCGAGTACTTCTCCGGTCTCGACTTGACCACTGTCCGTATTTGCTGCCAGAGTTTGTCCAGATTTGGAGACGCCCCCCAGCATTGAGCCGGCCTCACAAACCGGGGCAGGCCAATGTTCGCCGCTCGCCAAATTTGGGCGCAATCTGGAGAAATATGGCCCAGGGCCGACCACGATCGTTGAAGGATCGCCCTCTTCAGGTCAGTCTTGTCCCAGCCCACCAGACTTTTGGCGAAGGGATCGAGAATCTCAGCCGCAGGGTTCAAAAGGCTGCCCAGTTGACGAGAGCCTTGGGCTTGCCAAGGGAGAAGCGGTGTTTGGCAGTCCTCGCAGCGACATTCTCCCTTTGGAAAGTAGCTTCTCCCGTAGTCCGCAGTGATCTCCTCCCCGGCGCGGATATCTCTTTTGGCTTCAATAACGACCCTCATCAGGCCAGAGACGCGCATCTGACGAAAGCGAGTACAAGGCTTGCAGGAGTGGCTGACCAGCCTGAAAATCCCCCCCATCCTGGCGCTATTGAGCTGGCCGACGGTCGGTTCGGGATCTTCAGTATCGGTGATGTCACCTCTCACAATGATGAAAATTTGGTCTCCTGGTGGTGGCGTACCCTCTGGTTGGATTTCGCCGGTGAGCTGACCGAGTAGGGCCCCCTCTCGGTACGCCAATTGTCCATTGGGCCCATTCGCTTGAAGACCACGTCCTTTACCCGCGTAGGACTTGATCCGGGCTGTGGATCCTTGGATGGTTTCGATGCAGCGACAATCACGTTCCGTACAGAGGTCACATTGGACACCGTCGGGATCGAGTGACATGGGGTTGGTTGGCCAGGGCAGGTCTCCGGGCCATCCAAGCGGCCTCTCCCAGTCGGGGTATTCAGACGCGTCGTAGTGGTTTTCCTCGAGAGATGGAAATGGCTGTAGCTGCTCGAGCACATCCCTGGTGACCTCGGTGTATGGCGGAAACGGTCGACCCTCAAAGCAGAACTCAACGTCCATCTTGTCACTGTCGAGAGACTCCTGAAATGCCTTTCCCGCGCGACAGATCAAGGCCGTCATCGCCTCTTGATCAAGCTGTGCGTGGAAGATTTTGATATCGTCGTCACTCATCTTTGAATAGTGCTGGGGATCGAAGATTGCGGATTCGTCGTCTGTCAGTTGTTGATTCTGTCGGCTGCTCGCCCTCGCGAGTGGAATAAAGCACAGAAGGCCATCGTACTTCCCGCAGATTTTTTCCCAGTGCTTGCCACTGTTAAGATGTCGACGGTATTTGGAGTAAGACCATCCAAGAGTATCCCCAATCCGCCCTATAACATTCGGGTCCAATCGACTTCGACCGCTCAAGAGGTTGGCAACCGCTCTTGAGAGATACAGCTCATAGAGTCGCGTCAAGAATTGCTTGAGGTTTTTGTCACATTTGGCGTTGTCAATTCCTGCGAGACACCTCGAAATCTGCCCGGGAGGATCATCAGGATCCCCAATGACCAAATCAGAACATGGGTTCCTTCGGCTTTTGACCAGGCCTAGGAATTGTTCGATTGCCGGCTTGCTGAAGATAGCAGCGGCCAAGGACTCTGCAGAGATACCTTCCGGGGTGGAATCCTGGAGGGGTGCTGTTCTGGCTCTCTTCGCTGGCGGCCGAGAGGAAGCGCATGCATAACGCTTCAGGCTTAGGGAATTCGCTCTTTGGGGATCTGGAGCTGTTGGAGAGCTCGCAGGTGGTGGTGGGCTAAGTATAATTGTAGAGGCCGTCGAAGCGCTCTCAAGTGGTAAGCCAGATGCAGTTGCGAGAGGTGTCGGAGAGCTCTCGAGCGGGAAGCCAGCTGCAGTTGCGGATGGTGTTGGACGTCTATCCACCAGGGGCAAGGTAGGTGCTGTCGCGGGAGGTGTCAGATAGCTATCCGACACCGGCAAGGCAGGTCCAGTTGTGGGAGACATTGGGGGTCCCCCCAACGGCGGCAAGGCAGGTTCAGTTGCGAGAGGTGCTGGAGACCTCTCGCGTGGCGTTGTAGGGACAGACGGAGGTTCGGTCCTCGGTTGAACAGGGCCACAATCAGCCAACATCTCGACGTCTCCATCCCCTGAGAGTGCAGCCGGACCGTCATCCTGAGGTTCGACATCCCTCTGCCCACGTCCTTCAGCCTCTCGGGCTGCTAGAGCTAGTACTAGAGCTAGTACTATAGCTAGTTCTGGAGTTGGAGCTGGAGCTGGAGCTGGTGCTGCTGGAGCTGCTGGTGGTGGTGGTGGTGGTGGTGGTGGTGCTGCTGCTGGAACTGCTGCTGGAGCTGGAGCTGCTGCTGGAGCTGGAGCTGCTGCTGGAGCTGGTGATGGTGCTGGAGCTGGTGGTGGTGCTGGACCTAGTGTAGGTACTAAAGCTGGAGGTAGAGCTAGTGCTGGAGGTAGAGCTGGTATAGGTACTGGAGTTGGTGGTGGTGGTAGTAGTGGTGCTGAAGCTGAAGCTAATGCTGGAGCCAGTGGTGGTGGTGGTGGTGGTGGAGCTGGAGTTGGTATTGGAGCTGGTGCTGCTGCTAGTGGTGCTACTGGTAGTGGTGGAGGTGGAGGAGCTGCTGTTGGTGGTGGTGGTGCTGCTGCTGGTAGTGCTACTAGCGGTAGTAGTGGTGGTGGTGGAGCTGGTAGCAGTGGTGGTATTGGAGCTGGTGGTGGTGGTGGTAGTGGTGCTGAAGCTGAAGCTAATGCCGGAGCTGGTAGTCGTGGTCGTAGTGATGCTGTAGCTGAAGCTGGAGCTGGTACTGGTGGTGGTGGTGGTGGTGCTGCTGCTGGAGCTGGAGCTGGAGCTGAGGCTGGAGCTGAGGCTGGGGTAGGTACTGAAGCTGGTACAGGAGCTGGAGCTGCTGGTGGTGGTGGTGGTGGTGCTGCTGATGTCGTCTGCGCATATGGAGGAAAAGCCTGCGGCGGAGCAGGACGTGGATTCGACGAGGAAGAGGCCTCAATGCGGGCGTCCGAGGCGGCGTGTTGGCCTTGACTGGCCTTCAAGAAGGTGATTTTGGCATCGAGAAGATTCCGAAATTGGCACAAATAGTCGACCGTCAGTACTTCGGACAAGCGGACAAGGAATTGCACGGTTTCTGCCTGCACGTCCATGGCGGCGGACATGGGCATCGAAATGGTTCGAAAAGGAGAGAGGAAAGGGAAGCGCCCGCGAAGGGGGGGAAGGGGGCTGATGCCACCTTTTTCTTTTTGCCTCGATTGATGGTTTTGACGTGCCAAGTTTGACCAAAGGCACGCATGGGGCCATAATGTTCAGCTCTGACAGTCAAAGGCCCGTGCGCAGCCTCCTGCATGAAAAAGGCGTCATGGATGATGAAATGTGCGCAAATACCACGCCCGTACACAGACCGGTTGCTCTGACAGTCATGCGTGACATGTGGGCAGACCAGACCGCCTGCTCCGACAACGATGGCACGTGCGCAGACACCCGTCATTGATCGACCTTAGCGCTCAATAGTCCGCCTTTCCCTTGCCTCTGTGGAGTCGGGAGGGGCGTCATCCTTTGTTGTATCGATTTCAGCTCGGTGGAGCCCTCAAAGACAATCCGGGGGTTCTAAACGAGGGGGCGCTTGGTGGCCTTTTGCCCCGTGCACGGTTGGCCGGGTGCCTCAGCCTGCCTGCCCTGTTGGTGCCCCCCCCTTCCCCCCCCCTGAAATGGCAGTCACTGACGCCTTGCCAGTTCACCACTGCTGTCAATTCCTCATACTCAGATCATGTGGCAGGCGAAATTGATCATCAGAATGGGAAGCTGCCTTTGAACTGGGTGAGGCTGGTCCTCCGTGCTGAGAACTGTGATGAGACCTGTGATGAGACCTGTGATGAGCAGGAGAAGGCGCAGGTCTGGTGGACCAGCGCCAAGACGAACTCCACCGTATGATTTGTTGAACTGGCCTGGAAAGTATACATTTAGGTTACAGCCTGCTGGTTGGCTGAATTCTGCCACGAAGGTTTGCGGTGAAGTTAAACCCTCCAGACTGCTTGAATCTGCCTGGGAAAGTTTTCAACTAAATCACGGCCCTCCTGGTTGGCCCAAGACGCACGCGAAGGATTCAGAATCCCCACAACTGACAGCTGAGAGTCTCCACCGTACGCAAGGGAGAGAAACAAAGGGAAACAAAGGAAGACAAAAGGTGAAAGGGAAACTTTGGCAAAGGACGGATGACGTGGACCAAAGAGGGAGGTGAAAGGAGATGAGTCAGACACAATGGGCATCCTTTGCGGTGAGTGGAGCGTAGCGGTGTAACACTGTGAGGAGAGAGGGAGAGGGAGTGTTCGCCCTTCTTCCTCTCTGTCTCTCTCTCTCTCTCTCTCTGTGTCTCTCTCTCTCGCACGTGCGCCGCCCACCGAGGATCTCGGGCGAAGGAAGATTCACATGTCACCCACGAGGTGCACCGAGGGCCATGGAGAAAGGTTCACATGTCACCGAAAAGGTGCACGTGTGCCATGGGGTGAGCGTCTGCACCGGCTTGGGCGAGGAAATGACCAGACTCGTTTCCAGTCTTTCCCCTTTCGGACGCAAGGGCATACATATTTCCGTGACAAAGAGGCATGTCTCAAGGGTAAAGTTCCCGCTCCAACGGTGGACAGACAGCGAGTACGAACAAGGGCGTGAATGAACGGGTGAAAGATGGAAAAGTTTCTACTCAAAGGTGGATAGACAGCGAGTACGAACGGGGGCGTGAATGGAGGGGTCAAAGATGAAAATGAACATCCACGGTCAGCCTTGAACCACAACACAGGATAGAAACGTGCCTAGCATACCACTACAAACTCAGTTCACTAGTCAGATACCTAACTACCATTCCTAACTACCATTGCCATCGCCTTCGAACAAAAGAAACACGGTCCGATATTCCTTCATCTGTGATAATCAGCGGGTATGTATGTTGGCCGCATCATGTTTGGAACCATCGAGCCAGATGGGAAGGGGGGAGGAGTACCACTCGACATTGAAGCGTGCATACGCCTAGAACCTGCCTAGATACCCAAGTGATCTTTAACGTCGGCGACAGAAGGCAGGACCACACCACCCTGATAGGGTCGCCTACCGCTACCATACTCCGGCTTTTTCATCCTGAGCCTATCCCACTTGGCCTCGTGACCAGCCAGGATCTTTGCCATGAGTTCCAATGTAGGACCGTACCCCAAGAGGTCCGATGTAGCGAAGAAGACGGCGTCATAGATATCCCTCCCTTGTTGATTTTGATCGTCGAGCTTCTGCTGGAATGACTTGACCGTGTCGTCCAACTTTTCCTCGTGGAGATAGACGGTCGTGATACTGAACTCGGTGTCACCCCCTTTCACTTTGTCCAATCCCTTCTTGACGTTGTTGTATCCGGTCTCGCTGATCGCGCTGGTGGTGACCACGATGAATTTCTGCTTGCTGATCGTCTCGGTGGAATCGCTTACTCGTGCCCTGTGCTTCTGAATTTGCTGGTCGACCAATCCGACAAGAGCATAGCTGAGGCCGCTGACAATCATCGGCTGTCTCCCAACGAAGTCGGTGGCGGCGTTGTATGTCTCCACGACCCTATCGAAGGACCAATCCTTCACTTTCCACGGTTCTGACAATTCAGACCGCAATTTCCGTATTTCTGTCAACATCTTCTGGTGGCGGTTTCCCATGGGCTCCCTGTCCATGATCAATCCCAGAAGATCATACAGGGCTTTGTTATTGAGCCACCTGCTGAAATTATCTTTCTTCCGAATCTCGGCCATGACATCGCCCGCTTCTTCCTGCACAAAGAGGTTGTTCAATATGGTCGCGGCCTCCTGCTCCGCGGCAGAAGCGGATCTCATTTCGGGCTTGTGGTAATCCATGAACATCAGCTGGACCGGTGCACCGATCGCTTGGAGCAGGCACATGATAAGCCAGGTCATCATCTTGGTGGCATTTTGTTGCTTGGGGGTGGTTCGAGCGTTGTCATCGACGCAGAGGACCGTATTGAACGTTTTCAGGCTCGATAAATCGATCCGATTGCTGACTTCTTCATAAATTTGAAGGATGTGACCATGCATTGTCTCGGAGCTGTATTCCGGAGGCTGACCGTCGGTGGAGGTGAGCGTGACATCGTTCCCATCCGACAGGACTTGTCCTTGTGGCCCTTTTGACGACGATGGCATCGCTTGCTTCCCTTTCGAAATCCCATCCTCTGCCGGATCAGGACGAGGACGAGGATGATGCCGGGGCCTCTGATGCGGTCCCGCTTCAGCAGAAAAGCAATTGCCCATGGTGAGAGTCGCTTGAGAAAAGAGGAACGCTGGAGAAGGATGATGTTGAAGTTCAGAGAGAAGGTCGAGGGTCAGGTACTGAATATAAGTAGAAGAACTTGCTTGATTGATGAGGCAAGGACATCTATCAAGCTGCGCTGCTGCGCCTGCGGATTTGTTGTGTGCCCGAAATGGAAGTTATTCGGTTAACCTACCTGAGAAGGATTAGGGCAACACTGAAAGGGCTTAAATAGGGCTCGCAAAAGCCATTCCTGCCAAGACCCCGACCCGAAGGCCAAAACGGCCATGACCCTGCTGCGCCAGCGAGCGACCCTCGTCGGGTATGCAACTGCCACGGCCGGTCAATGTTTGTGCCCAACGTGAGGCTGCTAGCGTCTCAACAGTTTGGTCTGCCGGGCGGACACGTCGGCCTCATACTCTCCGGGTTACGGGCGTCACGCTGCGACCATGTATGCGTTGTTTAGGGGACCGGTATACGGGTGCCAATAACGTGAGGCTGTACTTCCCATCCTTTTTGAAAGTGAAACACGCCCATGTACGGTCGCGCCGGAACGGCAAGGCCGTAGGGGCAAATTTGGAAAAGATGCAGGGATCAAGGCTACCCAAGGAGTGATGGAGGCTGGCAGTGCCGACTAGCGTTGCGGAACGAGGGCAGGGGGGCTGATTCTGAATTGGACTGGTATGTGTTCCGCTCCCCCCAAGGTTTGTCCCACAATAGACTCAGGGAGGTAGCCGTTTGTGGTCCTGTAGTCACTTGGGCAACCTGTTCTGCCTGGACGATCCATTCGTCTCGCCGTAGAAGGACTCGAAGTATGCCTTCCTTTGATCTGGTGTAGAGGGTAGAACATCGTAGTGTTTCACCTAGACGCCCATCCTGAATCAAGGCATCATCTCGCGTCTCCCTGTTATTTGTGGTTGCAATCGCGAGATGGTATGAAGAGCCCACCCCGTCAAGTGCGTTCAACAATCCACCAGAAGTGACACCCTTGGATGGTCTGGAGACCTGGGCTTTGATCGTACAAGAGATTGGAACGTTCTATATCACCCAGTAGGAGAATCGACCCTCTGATCATTTGTTCCATCAAGTTTGTTCAGTTCCATGTCCGTCAAGTCTGGTAGTGAGATGGGCATGATGTAAAGCTCTCATTTGGCCGCCCAATGGCAATCCCAGAGCCCACCCTTCTCTTCGCCCGCCATTCTGAATCGTAGGCTGTGAGTCGGCCTTATGGTGCGACCGGCTTCTGCCCATAGACAACGAACCTTCTGAGGTCAAAAGTGATGAAGCCACACGGGAGGAATCTCACTTACCGTGGCCAATATGCATGAATTGATCGATCGCGGAGTTCCCGGCGAACAAGCGCCTCACTCACTTTGACTTCTTCTGGCGTCCACCCGAGGAATTCGGTGAATGGACGCATCGAGAATGCCTCAATGCCCATATCGAGACTTTCCACGTTGTATCTACCCAACTCTTTGAGAGAGTCATCCTTGGGCCATTCATTCTGCGGGACTTTGTATTCCATTCGGGCTATGCCGACGAAATTCTCATTCCGAAGGATGTCCTCGTACTTTCGACCGAGATCCAAAGACGGATCGCGGTCTGCTCTCTCGAGAGCGTTGCTCATGTGGTTGATCCATCCATGAAGTGCACTGTCTGGCGGAATCGTCTCGTCATCAGACGTGGGAAGACAAACTCCATGGATTTCAAACCATCCACCGGGCTGGAGCTGTCTGAAGGCTTTCTGGAAGAGAGCCTCGGGCGTCCGAAGACCACCAGGGGGGAGACGACAGAAGATGAGGTCATGAGGATGAAAATTCCAATCAAGGTTGTAGTCAAAGTATTCGAATTTGCAGTTTGGCGGAACCAATGTGGGTTGGATCGGGCTTATATCAATACCGGTCACAATTGCCCCCGGGTGCTGGTCAGCTACTTGAATCGCCCAGATGCCGGTGCCGGTGCCGAGATCCAAGATTTTCTGTGGCTGCTCGATGGGTGCCATAAACATCTTTTCTCCTCCCAACGTGAGCTTCCACACCGCGTTATCGAGATCGAGTCTCTCTTGCTCCATCTCGTCGTTGGGGAAGAGGTACAGGGATCGGTCGTCGTCTGCGTAGTACCAGCGGCCATTTTGGTATCGGTAATCGGTGGCAGCTGAGTCCAAAGTAGTTGTTGAGGAGTCCACTTCGTCTCCCAGAGCCGAATCTCGGGGGGACTAATACTGACGTTAGCCAAAGCATCATATAGCCAAAAACCTGTGGATAACCATACCTGCAGTCCTCCGTCCACAATCGGCTCGGGGACTGTCGTCATGCTTCTATCAGCAAGTATGATGGGGTGTGCAAGAGATGGTCGCTGAACCTGTTTAGCCAGTAGACGAGAACGAACGATGGCTGTAGAAAAAAACTGCAATGGCGAGGCAGGGAGTAGTACTCCCAAGGACCACAGAACGCAGAAGGTCAAGATCGCAGTCCCAATCATAGGAAACCCATTGGATCTGATACCGGCGGCAAGGATCGACCCTAGTCGCCCTAACCCTATCGGGAAATTTAGCCGAATAATTTTCCACCATCGCACACCACCAATCCGTAGGTGCAACCAATCAAGTAATTCCACTTACAACCCTGAGGGATCTTTGAACCTTCTGTCGTTAGTGACAACGTTTTCACACATTTTCTCCACGATGAGCATTGTCTTTGACACGGAATATCGAGTTGACACCACAAGAGTCAGAACAAGAACGGGAGGGCAATCGATATCAGATATGACGGGCACGCCCGAGTATCATTGCTGAAACCAACCCCACAGAAGACTATTGATGCGGTTTGGATGTCCCATGCATGTGCAGAGCGCCATCGAAAGAGGGTTTTCACTATCGGCTCAGAGCTAGCTAGCCGGGAAGAACCGACAAAAGCACGCTGGAGATTGACTAGTTACTTCTTCGTGGGTCTGCGATAGCGGGAGGCGTTCGACGATGGATCCGACGGGTGATCGACGCAAAACTTTAGCGGGTGGGTTGGAGAAGCAACATGGTTTGCGCCGCCGTTGGTGGACTGAATTGGCATGCGGAATGTGGAAAGCTTGTCTACACCGTGAGGCAGTCGAAATGGGGGATTGCAGAAGGAGTTATCGCGGGCTGGGCCACAGTAGATGTACCTCCTACATGTATACGAGGGAGGGGTGTCAATAGTGCACAGCTAATTCGATCAGCCACGACGATGGTGCGAATTGCAACAGTTGGGCGATTCTCTGAAATGTCAGCTCCATGGGTCTGCAGCCCGGCCCTGTCGCCAGGGGGCGGTCTCACTGGGTGGAGAGAAGACAAGCTGAGCGAGCCATTCAGGCGACCGGGGGCGGATGCCGGGGGCAGATGTTGCAAAGCGAGCGTCATGGCAGCAGAGGGAGAGAGTGTGGGATTCCAACAGACGTAAAATAGCTATCCACGCAGCGAATATCATGGAGTAGTCAGTCATCCAACACCTGAGCCCTGAGCCCCAGGCTTAGATGGATCATTTCTCATAAGGCGTCCCCAAGATGCAGGCCGCGGAAGATGTTCTCATCCACCATGTCGGACCCTCGACTGATGAATCCAGTGCCGGCGTACGTAGACGTGCCATATTGTCGTGCTGCTGCCGAAACTTAGCCTCAACGATGTAATGTCAGTGCTTCGTACGATCCTCTCACCTTTAATAGTGAAGAGATGTTAGATATCTGTAGTCTCCGTCGCGAATATCGGGTGGCCGCGGCTTTTTCTTTTCGTCGGTGTCGTCGCGATGATATCTTTGGGGTCGTCGGGATCAACGGGGCCGCAGTGCTTGATGCCTGTTTAGATTAATCGGATTGTGCCATGTGGCTTCTGTAGATTCGAGCACCCGCCGAACGTTCGGGAAACAGCCATCTTGTTTCCCAAGAGTTCTAGTGGACGTTACCAGAAAAAAGCCAGCACGCCCAAATTTTGAAGTGTTCGCTTAGCACCTCGTTCGCGTGGCGCCAGTAAGCTTCCCCGCCAAACGGAACGACGCTGACGATCGTTGCAGCTGTGGCATGAGCAGGATCGTCGGGAGGGGGAACAGCCCTCGTGATTGAAGAGGTAGTTCTTCTCTTGCCGCCGCTGGTTCTTTCGACGATATGGGGAGAAGTTGCGGGCGAAGAGCGCATACGTGGAATCGAGCTCGACAAGGATTCAGATATCGAGCGGACAACAAGTTTGTCTACCGGACGAGTGTCATAAGACTGGCAGTATGACACTGTCGCCTAGGGAGCCTTTTTCCATTTCGGCCGTATCTAGGCATTGATGCTAACTGACCGGATGTATGTGTGGATATCTGGGTCGGTCTTGTGGTAGAAGAAGTAGAGATGCTTTCTTCGACGAGGGGGGTCCTTGGCCGGCTGAGGTTTGACAGTTACTGAACCGGAAAAAAGGTCGAGCTCTCCGTCAAGCCCGTCGTCATTTCGGGCCAGGTCGTCAAGACGAGTTCTACCGTCAGGAACCCCGCGTGTCTGGCAGAGTATGAGCGCTTCAGGGACTTGGAGCGCGCGCGCCGCAGCGACAGCCAGCAGGAAATAGTCAAGCGGCCGGGGAAAGATGCCCAGTGAAACAATTTGCCGAGCCACGAAGGAGGATGCGATCGCAATTTTCTGCAGGGGAATGAAGAAATTGCTGGGCGTGTACGGAGAAGTTCTTCATGATATCTGTTGAGTGAGCTGGTGGTCCATGGTTGGGACAAATTGTGATGGACGATGGTGGATGGCGATGGTGGATGGCGATGGTGGATGGCGATGGTGGATGGCTGATGGGTGCCGCCGGCGTGCTCTGGAACCTCACCGCCGGCGAGATCGGTTTGGTTGTGCGGGTATATGTTATTTTGTTCTTTGGGCCGACATTGCGACGTTGGAGTCCGCTGGCTAGAACGTTTTGAGTAGACGTCAAAGATGAATCGCTTCGATAGACGCCAGTTGCAAGTTGACTGGCACATGGTCGCAGGGTTGATGGATCTATGGCGCACTTCTTCCCAGAAGGACTTGATCTTTGTCTACAAAACAGTCCACCAACCAGACATCAGCCATCTTGCTTCAGGAGCCTGCCAGACACGTCGGAAGTCGCTGTGACCTACCTGGACACCACCTCTCAGCGTGGATCTGAGTCCTCGACCACGAGGGAGACCACGTAAGAGACGCAAGCCATAGGAAGCTGATCTCGAAGCCGCAGCACCTGGACCATCTTCGGTCAACCTGCCTATTTCAGCCTTACGCCTATAGACATGAGGGAGACGTTGCGGCCGTTGTTGCTGAATTATTTCAGTCTGTCGAGATTGGACAACGTCAAGGGCGCAGGTGAACTGATGTCCTACCATGGTCTATTACTATGTACAGAGTAGAGGGAGGCCGACGTCGGCGATGCTGGTCATGACAATACGCCACTGTCAGCCTCTGCCGTGACGGCCTTTGTGTGGCTAAGCCAATTGAGCGGCTCATAGTTTTGAGACACGGAAAGATTGAAACGGAAATCGGCACAGAGGGAGCCTTGCCCGGGCCGAGACGGTAGCGCCCAGAACGGGTACATGCGGAAAGCAACACAGAACTGTCTTTTTTTATCATATTTCGTTCTTCGTCAACTGTTGGACCCCGCTGCAGCCGCATGGAGGGTGACAGGGATGTGACAGGGGTCTGACAGGGGTTTGACAGGGGGGTGACAGGGGGGTGACAGGAGTAATAGGGGCGTGTGTTGGTAGTCGGGGCCCTGGCGGATAATTCCTTCTACGTGACCCTTGACTGGACGACGGAAATTACCGAGCCGTGGGTCGCGGGAATGCTCCAACATCGTGTGCATGTACCATTGGCTGCCTTGTTAATGAATACTCTGCCATGGCTAGTCTACGGACTATGATGTTTCTATCGCAGAACATGGCTGTAATACATAAAGGACGTCCCAATCCCGGGGCGCGTCCCGACTGTCTGTGGTTTGCTTTCTGCCAAAAGACCAACAAGTCGAGACCCATGTTCACCCATTTCTGTCTCAAGATCCAGATCAAAGCTGCCGGAAGCATCTCCAAAAGCCACAACCCCAGCCATGGGGCCGGGCCGACACGGAAGAGCTTCACCGAAGCCTGAACATTGGGGTGGCACCATAGTCTGCGCGTCGGCAATAGTCGAACAAGAAGAGGTAGACCCAGCCTGCACAGTGCCGTCGTCATTTCGAAATCATCGCCCGAAACAGCTCTCTCGACTAAAGACAGTTGAGAAAAAACAGAGCCCTTTGCGGCGCAGCCCACGCAACCATGGCGTCGGCGCGATACAACAAGAGGCAGTCCAGAGCCCTTTGCGGCGCAGTCCACGCTCCCTCACGAAACGGACATTCATACCAGGCCGATGCGACTCTTCGGGCTGCACATACGATTGCAGCACAAACGAGTGCGTTAACCGCGGGACTCGTGTTGAATGTGATCACCACAACTGCGGTCGCTCTTGGTGCCAAAATCGGCTCTTCGCCGAGCCACCAAAGCGCAAGCTCACCGTCTTCCAAACTCACACGCGTCGCGGACGCGGCCTGCGCACCGACGAGGATCTGCCGGAAGACGTCTTCGTCGGCGAGATCAAGGGCGTGATGCGCGACATGCGGGATTCGGACGGGGACCGGAGCGGCTCGCACTTCCGCGTGGCCCTCAGCAACGGACGCGAGCTGGACGCGACGCACGTAAACTCGCAGGCGCGCTACATCAACCACACGTGCGGCGAGCCGAACTGCGGGACTGAAGAGTGGGAGGGGGCTGACGGCAGGGTGCACGTCGCCGTGTTCACCCTCATGCCGGTGAAGGCTGGCACGGAGCTGACCTTCAAGTACCACGATTGCACCCAGGCTGGGATGGAGGAGCCGAAGGCGCCGCCGCCACAACAATCAAACGACGACGAAATGTGTCTGTGCGGGAGCGACAACTGCTGCGGTCTGCTATAGGGCCCTGAACCAGAGGGAGGGGGGGGGGGCCTGAACCATACATGGGCACATGGTTGCGTATGGTTATCTTGGGGGTCGTAACCATAACTATAAATAACCATGAGGTCGTAACCATAACGTGTTATAACCATATAACCATATTATAACCCACGTCCCTGCGTTATGAAACTCCCTGCATTGTGAAATGCGCCCTAGGTACCTGAGGCCTCAGCCCAATAATCTTCCTCTTTGTAAGTTGATATAAGTCCAAGAACAGCTAGAGAGTGATAAACGGCCACTATTATGATGAGCACCTAGCGCACATACCAATGTTACAACGGAATGCAATTGCCAACTACGCTCTCGTCGTTGTCTAGACTTGGAACTTCTCATCACTCTACGCTGTCGAAAGTCAAATCCATGGCATCCGGCGCTTCTGAAGTTAAAGGAATCGAATCAGACAGCAGGAGTTAATATCTGAGCACACTTTCCCCCGAATGAGACGGAGGCTCGCGAAGACACTCCAGCGTAAGTTAACAAGGCGCCGCAAGGTCCTTTGGACGAGTAGCCCTGAAACAGTATTACAGGGCCAAGATGTCATGAGTCGCTGATTTTACAAGCTCATACAGAACAGCCACTCAGCCACAAATTGTGGCTTGATTAGATTACTTCATCCTAATAATAGATTCATCATTCTTTGGCGCGGGAAAGTTCGGGGAAAGGCAAAACTTCTTTTCGCGCGTACCGAAAGCCTATGAAGATGGAGTGTGGAATCTTCTTCTAACTCCTGCCGGTTCGTAGAGCTGATGGAAACATCGAGCGACGACGACTAAACAATATTCTTTGAAGTTGGTCGTGGATTCAGAACCTCCAAGGAGTGAGATCCTCAACTGTAGCATATACAAACACGCGTGTTTGTATCACGGAGCTGAGACTCGGGTCTGTCGAACATTGCTCTATCTCTCTCTTCACTCCAGCGATCCCATTTCAAAGGTACCTATCGTACAGGACTGATGCGTGCTGACAGGTCTGCGTGAGTACCTCTCAAATTCGATGCTTGAAAAATTGGTTTATCCCGTCGCGGTTCGGCGTCCACTTATCCCCCTTCCTGTAACGACGATCCGAGACACATCGATCCAGCATCATCTCCTATCTCACACGCACCGACGGCGCTTTGATCTCGTGGGTTTCACCTCATTCCTGATGTTCACACCTGATGTCCGTTACTACCATCAGCCCCCTCTCTCTCCCGACAATTCAAGACTACCTTTTAAGGCTGAAGAAAGACACTGGTGGCCAGGTACAAACAGGGCAAGAGTGGGGTACTAAGAGAAAGCTTTCGTTAAAATGCCATGTCAATGTCAAGAGAGGGGAGACCAAGGCAATTGTGCAATCATAACACCACACCGACTGCTCCCACCGCACAGCCCAAACCCTGGCCAGTTGGAGCCACGCAGCGTTGAATTTGGTCGGACTCTAGCCCCCATCGGCGATTCCCAAGCTAGGATGCAAATGTCGGTCAAACGATGGGATCCGGAAGCTGGACCTCAGAGCTCTTCGGTGCGCTGCAGAAGGTCTCCGGCCTCGAGACGTCTTCAGTCTAAGACAAAGTGTTGCGGTTGCACAAGGGTTTTAACTCATGTCCTCTACGGCGATAGAAATATGGCACCATGCAACGCACTTGGGCAGTAGGAGAGACAAGGAGTTTGTATTCCATGGCTGAAACTTATCCACATAATAGCGCTTAGGCCTGTGTGTGGCCTGTGCTCTTCTTGATGCCTTCCTATGCTCGGTTCTATGTCTATGTTTCCTGATCCAATTCGACGCGGGTAATTATCGTTAGCGCATCGCTTTTTCCAGGGCAGGGTCTCGCGCTTCAACCCAAAATCGATAGGCTGATGTGTTTCCGTTGACGGGAGCCACCGAGATATCCCACAGCACTTTGGCGCGATGAGTGGTCGTCATTTTCCCAGGACGCCGATGACGATGGGTTTAGCACGCGCGACCAAGGGATTGCATTTTTGTGTGAGGCTTGGAGCACAGCCGGGCTGCATCATGCGGAATGCCGGCGAAACTAGAAAACATGCCAGCCCCAATATCATGCCCAAAGCCGCATGAGGCTGTGTGGTGATTTGCTGGGACACAGTGGTAAATTATATAAACGGGGGCCCTTCCCCCCAGTTCCCGTCTCTTTTTCCTTCCATTACCCGCGCGAGAATACCAACCATTACCGTCACTTAATTCTCCACTAAGGTGCTCGGGCCCCACGATTTTAGGCAACCGCCAAGCCTCTGTCACCAGGCGAGTGCGGCATCCCTCTTCAACTGCTCAATCTTTCTTGACTCTCTCTCCCAACACCGAACTTGACTTCAACAATGACTCAAACAAGCGGCACCGGGCCAGTCGCAGAAGAAGATCGTCTCAGGAATGCCATGTACTGGCCAGAGGATGGCGAACCAGTGTTTCACGTTGATGCGTACAACTTCGGGAAATCACTTGGACCGCTTCTGAAGAATGAGTCTAGCAGTACGTCATTTATGCCATTGAAGCGATACTTGTTGATACATCGCCGTTGCATTCGAAAATCAAAATAACTAACTAAGAGACGTTTAGTGGATGAGCTCGTCAAATTCCTGCAATCATACGAATTGTACAGAAGCGCTGAACGCCGCGTCATGAGGCCACTTTACACCAATCGATACATGTATGTCAAAAGGCTAGTTCGGCAGAGCCACCCAACGCTGGAATTGTTCAGGGATGCTCAGGAGGTTCAGGCACTAGTTCGAAAGCAAAAGGCGGCCCATGACAAAGCCATGACTGCCGAACCCGGATGGCAGGAGGCAATGAAGGATGCAGGCATCTGGGATGATGATAAGGAGACATTCTAGTCATCACCGCAATGACAATCAGGCAGACCAACCATCTGGAATCATTTTAATGGCCGTAGTGGTATCTAGTAGTTTGAAGCCTCTCTCCCATTCAGACTGATCCACCTTCCCTACATTTCAAGTCAACAGACATCAGGATCTTATTTTAATCTATCATAAAGCCCTACAGTGAACAGCGCAAGGTGATCCGCCACTCTTAAGCTCCAATGGTAGCTTCTTTCCCCCTCCTATTTCTACCTCCCGAAAAACGTTCATGGGTTGTCACTGGTTGTTCCATGAGAGAGACATTCCGATTCAGAAAGGGTCCCAACACTCGATCGACTGAGAAAGGTTGACTAGCACTTTAGGCTGTCAGCGATACGCTTATCATCCACAAGCCAAAGTACATTTAGGTCAGCGCGACGAAGCTGAGCTAACGTATGTGTAGCATACAGTATAATTAACCTGTGCTGCATCGTTGAATTTTCGTTCGAGGTTCATGAAAAGCTGAAGTGTGGAAAGGGCACGTCCTAAACATGGAGCCCAACAGGATTCTGGCGGTCTTGGCAGCATGCGCGTCTTTTGGCGTAGCGCAGAAAACGTTTCGCCGGCCTTGTGAAGGAAGTTCAGCGCCGTTCATCCTCGATTTTGAGATAAGTCTGACGAACATTCGATCATGGACACCAGGCACTTGATGTCGCTACGATTGTGTGGAGGACAACTCAGCCAGGTCTGCTTCCGTCTCTGTTTGCAAACTCTGGTGCTTGGCTTCCTGCCTATTGACGATTAGACAGTTGAGTCCGAGAGAACGGATCACCTATCGCCCTCCGCGCTCTCGAAAAAGAAATCCTAGAAAGCCGAGTCCACGAAATTTGGCGTTTCCTTTTGCCGAGACTCATCCGCGACACCGGACCCAGGATGGGGCAGTCAACCCAATGATGAGAGCTTGAAAGGACAATCAGAACTGCAAAAACTGAACAATAACTTTCGAGGCCCGTGGGCTCAATACCGGAGGCTTGTGAGGGAAGCAAGTGACACCGGCAAAGGAGGCTTTGAAGAGTTGCGATATATTTTTTTGGACGTTTGCTGGATTTTCTGGCTCAAACAGCGATGACTGATTCTTCTGTGTTGCGTTTTCTTTGCGCTGACAAAATGTCCTCATAGACCATGATTTTGGCCCTTCCAACCACGGTGGATCGTGTCGATGCTCGCGTCTTTTCCTCATTGTTTTGTTCGAACAAGTTCTTGTTCTCCGCCCGCAGGAGCGCCACAGTCAGCACGCGACTTTTGAACTGCATTGTGGAACTTGGCAAATCGTCGTTTGACAGGGCTGTCAAGATCACCGATATCCTGTTTCAGTTTCTTGCTCAGCAATGTTATAACCCTAAGAAGTGGTGGTAGTGGTCAGCAGGTCATTCGGCGATGGAAGTTCTACATTCACGGTCTGTGTTCGAGGATCAGTTTCCTCCATAAGTGGTGGCTGGATGTCATTGGGCAACCCGGTCCGGGTTAAACGGCTGGAGGCCGGCCTTGCACCAAGCGGATTTCATATTCCGCGGCGTGAAAGCTTCGTCGCGTGCCCGGCTGTAAAGCAGGGTGAAGTGCTGTTTGCCTACGGTGGTAGCTCCGCCACGATACAAGTTCTCGACCTATTCACGATAAGCACTTTTGAGGGAACTAAAAACTGTAAGATCGCACGGGTTGGAGTGTGTGCGAAGTATGGGACGGAAGGCGGCACAAAATGATGTTGTTCTCGAAACAAAACTTCAAGATTTCTTCGGATTCGTGTGTTCCAAAAGCCGTCGTTGATGAGCACGCGAGGTCGACCATTGGCTCGAGTTCTAGTAGAGGGATCGAAAACATATTGAATCCAGTACAGACTGATGGCCTTATTGGTACGTCCACTTTCCGAGCAGGCAGAGTGCCATCCAGGGGTGGGATGGGTGGTCCAATTACTGCGGTGGGTTGACGCCGCCTAGATGATGAGTGGCGAGATAACTCGACCATCGGCCGAGATGCACTCAATGGCCGTTACCAGCTCACGCTTCACTCCGGCTCCTTTACAATTGGTCGGGTCGTCGTGGCCGGCGAGAACCTTTTTCGAGGGCAAGAAGCAGAGCATGATCCCGGTCTCGTCCATATTGTAGACATTTTCTGGCAGGACATCCGGGTTATTTAAGATCGGCCCTATCATATCGAACCACTCCGTTATTTTGTCCCGGATGTTACGATCATGACGATCCCAATCTAGGGACTTGCTTTTTCTTATTCTTATTCTTCCTTACATCCTCTATATACTTTACTTACGTTATATTAATAGTTACTAATTTAAAGTATAGATAATCCTTTTTCTTATATCTATTACGAGCTACTTTATACGTGAGGTATTAATAGTAAACCTAGATAGTTTACTTAGTAATATAGTCGTAGTATAAAGTAGTAGAGATGAAACTAAGAGTATAGTATACGGAACTATAGGTAAAGCGTATAACTAAAGGAACTTAATTATTTATAAACGATGTTAACTACGAGGGAGAACTATAGAAAGTACGAGAACTATAAAGTTGATAGAATCGATAGTACTCCCTATAGCTCAACTTAACCTTAGAAGTATAATAGAGTAGGTTATGTAAGTTCTATATAATCTCTCGCCTACTATATCATTACCTCCTCCTTAGCGTACCTTCCTATATCTTAACTTATAGTAGCCTCTTCTCTAGCCTATTTATAATAATATCCTTATTAACTATAGATATAATATTCCCTACTAAAGATATTAAGTATAGCCTCTATCTAATACTTTACTTTTTATAGAAGGAGATAGTTCTTAATTAACTAGACTTACCTACTTAAATTAGTAGATATAGAGTATATTAACCATACATATTCTACTTATATCTTCTTTAAGACTACTATCTTAAGCTTATATACTGATGTAAGAACCTATATTTACGAGATAATAATCTTAAGGTCTTACTAGACTATATCTTATAGATAAGATATTAATATATAAAGTAGTATCTAGCTCCTTCTCTTATCTTCTATTAGAGAGTTAATTTCTATCCTCTAGTAATAGTTGTCCAGACGCGAAGTCAATTGCTTCTCCAGGCAATTTCTGCCCGGAATTTCCTATCGCGGTACTCCATGATTGACGTAACTCTTTGCCTCAGACGGGAAACCTCTCGCGTGTTTCCTGCCCGTTTTACATCCGCCGCGCTTCGTGTGTTACCCCCCCTCTCTTCGTCTGTTTCTGTACAGTTCTCATCCATCTTGATGCTCTCTCTCTCTCTCTCTTGCCATCCTCCTTGCCATCACTCGAACTATTACCGAATGTGTCGGTGCTTCGTTCTCATCATTTTTTCTTGGACCACAGGCATGCAGGAAGAAGGTCAGGAGACCGAGGTGCAAGACTCAGCCTTGGCCAGGAAGCTAGATGCCTTGGGATCTTTTCACACGGCGGTGTCGTAGGGTGTTTAACCCGACCCCAGCCTATTAAGGGCATGTACGGGCATGGGCGTGAGGGCCTCCCCGCTATGTCAGTCGGGGTCCAGGAGACGATGAACCCGCGAGTGAGACACGTCTCATCCATTGGCAATAAGTCAGGCGACCAGACACACCCTTGGGTCCGATGGTTCTTTTGTCGAGGATCGCGTTCCCTGGCAGCCTAAGCAGAACCTGGTGGCTGTGATTTGTTGAAGCCACGCCTGCCACGTCGACCACCTTCTGCCAAGCACCCAGGCCGTCCCTCCGGGCTCTGGATTGACTGGGGTTTTGGTGTCGACGCAGTTGGTTGGCCGGCGGGCGACAGGGTTCTAACAGCGTCACTTGTCCGTTAAAGCGGCGGCGTTGCCACTGGCCTCCGCTTGTCATTAGCGTCGGGGATTGGCATGTTTGTATAGATTTGCTTGAGGGAGGGAGTAGTTTGATTGGTCGGCGGGCTGCAGTAGGGTGTTTGCACGACCGTAAGCTGTAACGTGATAAGGCGGCGAAACGACAAGGACATGGTGTTGCAAGACGTTCAACCGAATGAGTCTCGACACCAGCCCACAACTAGGAAAAGGATTTGGTTGCCGCAATGGCAGATTGGTTTAGTTTGTTGAGCTCTTTTCTGTGTGAAGAGAGAGAAGGAGGAAGAGTCCTAGTGACTCGGTCTACCTGAATAAAAGAGGGGGAGAATAAAGATCGGGCTAGTCCCAACCCGGCCTAGTGCCACACGTGACACATGGATCGACTCAGCCCCCAATCAGCGCAGATAAACATCGTCAGTATGCCGCTGTTCTCTCTCTTCCTATTTTCCACACGATTCTCTCCATTATATACCCCTCGTACGGTTCTCTACCCCAAACCTGTGCAACTGCCCGCCGTGATTTGATGTATCAGCGCCACGGGACAGCGATGACGCTCAAGCTTTTTTCTACGACCAAAGAGATGCCTAGCCCTACACTTCCAGAGTACGAAGGAATTGTGGAAGACAGGATGCGCTTGGAAGAGTACGCGTGGATCTAGAAGTTGGCCGAGCACCAGGCTTCCGGTCGCCCAGTAAAGCCCATGGTCCCGTCCGAAACAGGTCCTTCAACACGACGCACTAACACTTGTCCTCAGATCGACAGGTCCACCGTCGACGAAATAACACCCCAGTGCTGCTACGACGTCAAGGAGGTCCACCTAGATGCAAGAACGCTCGTCGATCTTGTTCATGTGAGCTGATCCCCTGCCGTCCAGATGTTCCGTTTGCTGATGACATGCATAGGCTCTCCACCCGATCATGCCGAGTGCCCGCCGGTGCGATGCGTGCCATGACCGTCCTCCTTCCAGTTCCGTCGACTGTGAGGCCTGCGACCGCCTTTACAAGGCACGGCGTCTTTTCGATACATGCTGCGAAAGGACTGCAGCAAAGGTCTACCCCAAGGCTACCAACGACACGTGGCAGGACTCATCCAGCATGTGGCAGCTGGTCCGGAGCGAGCTCCCTACTGAAACGCCCCTATCTCAGGACCTCGTGGAGATTCTCGGCAGCTGGGTAGTGGCCCAAGAAATGTCGTCGCTCCAACTTGCACGCATCTACAGAATCAGCGGAGGCCTGGCTACAGACCGCCACAAAGAGGCAATGGAGCGCGCGGGTGCGTCCTACATGATCCGCACTGTTCAGCACGATGCCGAGAAGGCCCTGTTCTTGTACCACAGCTTTGACGCTTGTTGGGACATTCCTTGGACCAAGGTTTACAGCATGACTGAGCTTGGCGATAAGAAACCCTACGCATCCGGCGCTCAGACAATCGTTCTTCCTTCCGCGTTCGACGAGACTTTGACAACATTCCAGGCCGGCCGGCGAGGATGAGCTTTGTTTTACCCTGCTTCCTGCTGCTGGTGTGGGGGATAAAAGTCTATTCAGCCAGTTCACAAAGGAAGGGGAAAGATAGCTACGATGGATCTTGGGAAAATCACGCCCGTCACTCGTGCGTCATATAATGGCCGCCTTTTCAGGACGTTAACGTAAGCCGTCTGCCTCCGTTTACCCGCTACTATTAAAGTCTTAAAACTGTATAGCATGTCGAAGTCTCTCGGGAACCGCGTGCCGTTTTCCGAACATTCCAAGAACGTGGGCTACCAGCATTGGATTGCACGGTTTTGTGTCCGATCTGAAGAACATCGAACATCTGTCTCTTTCGGACTGCGGCTACGAGTCCTAGGACCTTGTCAACCTCCATCGCTGGCTGGCTACCTTCACCGAAACACATTCAGGTGGCGGACAATGAGTGGATAGTGAAGGGTGGTGAGCTTCTCGTTGACCCAGGAGTTTGATGAGTCCTTGGACCGTCGTGGCTGGCTATCTTCATCGTGGGACGACAGCATGTTGTAGGAGGGAGAGCATGTCAGACAAGGGCAGCACGTTGCTGGGCATGGTGAGTCGCATCACGCCAAAGATTGCGCAACTGCCGCTTCTTTGTCGGCAAGGCCCCCAGCTTCGAATACATCACGGCTCTGCGGCTAACGAAGGTGGGCGCCAAGATGCCGGCACCAAAGCCAAGCGAGCCGACACCAAACAGAGGAGGACATCGCTGGGATCTGTGCAAAAGATAGTTAGGTCGAGAGTACGTAAGGTATAAATAGTCAAGTAACTTTAGAATAGTATCGTAAAGTAGATGTTTTAAATTAGCTACGAGAGAGTATAACTATAAAAGGGTAATAAGTATAGCTATATATACTTATAAGATTTATCTCGAACAGGTAACCGGAGATAGTATATCGGTATATTAACCTACTATCTATATAGACGGGGCCGATATGTCGTTATATCGTATATTCCTCTTCTAGAAAGTCACGTACCGTACGTAACCTTAGCCCTAACTCTTCTATATCCTTTTCCGGGCTACCTATCCTAGTAGACCTTCCCCTGGACGAACCCCGCCCTAGGTCGCATGTAAGGCTGTTCCTAACACAAATCCCCGAATCGGCTACGAATTCGTGCGCCAGCTATATGAGAGCGAGCGCCCTGGGGTGATTGTGCTGCCAGCAAGCCGCGTCGGCTATGTTTAACACCAAGGTTTGGGTCTGTAACTCGGCCGAGGAGTTGGCGTCGCTTTACCAACGAGGATCAGAATGCGGCTGCCGCTGCCGCTGTGGCTGGCGCAAACGACAAAGTCGTGAAGAAAGAAGGTCGACTGCAGAAGAACTTGTCACGAAAGACACCTTGAAAGCATAGATGTGGCCACATTCAGGACCACCGCAGATCAGTTCACTGCTCATATGTGACGAATCTCCACGCATTTCCTTCGACAGGCTCGACGACAGTCCATGAGACTCAAGAGCGAAATGAATCCCTGTGTTCGTTCGCACGATGGGTGAGTTCGTGATCAGGATGTCGTTTTAACTGCCAGTGTCTCTCGGAGGCATCTCAGGTTGAAACCACAGGAGCCACACAGCCAATCCCAGCCAGGCCATGCGTTCCAGAATGCACTGGACACACACCCTCGATGGCTTTGAGGGGCTAGTAGCGGCTGAAGTCAGTCATCGACGACGTGGTTTTTCAAAAGGTTGAAGGCGGCGACAAACCCAAACGAAGTGTGTGTGTGGTTTTGATCCTGGCTCCCCCGGCTGCAGAGATTTTGTGAGTGGCTGTTGTCTGCAACGTACAGTTTTGGAATATGGACATAAAGGGAGCAATGTTCATAGTTTTTTCCTCAGATACGAACAGGTTCGGGAAGTTAAAAAGAAGACGACCCCCGGAATTCAGACTTTCTGGGTCTGGTTTCCTAAAGTTCTGCCCCTAGGACAGCACCAGCAGCACAAAGGATCCACGTCGGAGACCCTCGTGATGATGATGGAGACGATGAAGGACACGGAGAGATGTTCGACTTCAAGAATCTGTACAAGGGCAAGAACCTACCTGCTCGGGGAGATAGTCCAGCTCCTCGTGCGTGGGCGTGTTCTCGTTGATCGTGGTCTTCCGCTCCATCCTCTCCCTCATTATCCTAGCATTACGCGCGTGCATGCCGCCGACGTCGATCATGGACGTGTTCTTGCGTATCATCATGGTCCTCTTGAAGTCGTAGGACGACAGTAGTCCCCGCGCAGCTCGGTGGTCGTACACCTCTGCATGGTGCTGGACAAAACCTAGGCGTGGGGCGGCGTCACCTCCTCGCGCGGCTACCGGTGCGTGTCAGGCACCCCAGGCAGGTCCATGAACTCGGCGTAGCCCGAAGCCCCCCTCGATCCGATGAGCCAGAACGCGCTGTTGGTGTCGATCATGGCTCTGAACCTGTCGATCGCCGGCCACAGGTGCACGTACGCGTTGCGCCCCAGCTCGTACCCTCCCAGGGCTCCGAGGAGTAGTCGACGTCTGTAGTTCTCGGCGCTGATCATCCAGATGGTGACGGTACACCGTCTCGCAGTCGGGCGGGTCCGGCAGGTTGCGCCATATGGTGTGCGTGAACGCGTAGAGGCTCTCGTGCCCCCCCACGAAGTCGTCCAGCTTCCCGAGGCTGATGAGGATCGAGTCCGTGTCGGTCGCCTGCCTCTCGCCCACGTACACCAAGCAGCACGGTGGCCAATCTCTTCAGGGCCCGCCACGATGTCGTTTTTCAGGGACAAGATGATGATGATGATGATGATGATGATGATGATGATGATGATGATGATGATGATGATGATGATGATGATGATGATGATGATGATGATGATGATGATGATGATGATAATGATGATCCAGATTGGGTTGTCGTACTCGTCCAGGTATCGATGGTGATGATTTTCTCAGCGAAGCTTTCGGACCAGTGCGCGTCGACGCCCACGGTCGCGGCCACATCGATGTTCCTGAGTATGCGCAGGGAGCGTGGTGCTGAACGCGTGCATCACCCTGCCATCGAAGCACATCCTCTTCAAGTTCATGGGCCTGATCATGTCCGTCATCGCGTTCACCATCAAGGCCGTGCCGGGCAGTCGAGCTCCAGTCTGAACAGCGGCCTGATCCTGCCATGCTTCGTGTGGATGACCGCGTTCCTGACCCTCACCATGGTCTTGTCTGGGTCAGAGACCAAGGCGGTCTCCATGACCATCCCCCTCTTCCTCACCGCGTTACTGACGCTGATCATCGTCACGGGGTTGGACATGGGCACCACGATGGACACCAATATGTCCGTGATGTTCATCATCTGCAGGGCCTCGCTCGGCTCCATAGACACCCTCGTCATGATCACCGCGTTGCTCCCAGCCCGAGTGGTCGTGAGCCTGGCGATGTGGATGGGCCAGTCGATGATCGTGTGTATGTTCGCCGTCAGGACCGTGGTGGCGACCGGGTAGAGCTGCTCGCTCAGGCACATGTGTAGGGGACACATTCTCGTTCGTCAACACGAACATCTGCATGACCTCGAAGAGGTACTTGATGATCATCAGCCCATGTGCCCTCCCGACACCACGTTCAGGCAGATCACGTCGATGCTGTTCCCCGGTGACTTCTCGTACCCCATGCCGATCTCGATCAGGCACATGATGTCGGCCATGATGCCGCACACCACCTCGATATGCCTCAGGTTCGTCTTCGAGGTCAGGATGCCCGCGAAGCCCGTGTTCATCTCCTCGACCGTCGTCGGGATCATGGTCCAGTCGGTGGGTACCCTCTCGTGCGCGTGTATGTTCCTGCTCTTACTCAGAGTGTGGCTGCGCCTCCTGCTCTTCTGCGCCATGCTGGGCAAGCTGCTCGACCGCTGACGGGTCCCTCATCCTCCTGTTGAACGTCAACCTGTCCTTCAACATGTACTCCACGTGGAGGTTCGACGACTCAAGGATCAGCTCGGCAAGGCCCCAAGACTCGACAGGGCACGCGCAGCAGGAGAGGGATAGGAGAAGCACTCGTGAGGACGATGAGAAATGCCGTGATAAGTGAGCTGCCGCCGCTGACAGTGTCGGAGGTGCTGTCGATAATGTTCAGGCAGAGGGGGCGTCCCGTCGCTAGACTCGTTCATAGTCATGATCGTGGGCGCGTTCAGGAGGGCTGTGGGCTTCAGCCCGGCCGTGGAGAGGTACGAGCGCATGTTCATGCCGTTGGTCAGGTGGGAGTGCCCCGCCATCGTGGCGAGTCTGTGGACGATCGAGCCGGTTGGTGTCGAGTACCATCATCAGGGGGCAACAGCATCGACGTCAGGTACGCACACGACATGTAATCCATGGAGTTGGAGTGTGCATCGAGACGATGTCCATGACCCCGCACACGACCAGCGTCAAGCCCGGCAACGAGGTCTGTGGCAGGTGGGCCGCGTGGCTGCGTCTGGCCGCGCGTCCAAGGACTGGCTAGGGCTGGCTCGACTCCGTATGCTCCAGCTGCAATGTCTCCTCGTCCCGACCGTGGTGTTTCTCACGAACCTGATCACGGTCTCCTCGTTGTCTTCCAACCCGTCCTCGGTCAGGACCTTGTACGCCGCCACGCCGTCGGGCGCGACCGTGGCCACGGACTCGAGCACGGTGAGAGCATGAACAGGTACATATGCCGCTGATGCTGGGGCCATACGTCACCGGGATGAGCTTGACCGGCGTGTTCATCTTCGGGCGTAAAGCTTTCCATGGCGGCAAAACAAAGCGAGCCAGGCAGATGACGGCGACGTAGATTCCGTGACCAGGCCGGGCGGGGGCAAAGAAGTCGTTGCTGTCGAGTAAGAGCCGGAAAGCATGCGTAGTATCACGCGTAGTCTGCAAGATCTGTTCGTCCCATTGTCTTTGCGTCAGTCTCCAAGGTCTAGTGCAACAGCGGGGACCAAGCAATACGAAAAGGGAATATACATATAGACCTTGAAGAAGAATATGCAAGCAGAACATGTAAAAGGCCATCTTGGAGAAGGACATACAAGAAGAGCCTGTAAAGAGCGCGGTATAGATGAATATGGCCTTGAAGATGAAGGCCGCCTTCAAGGTGACTGCCGCCTTAAAGGTAACTGCCGCCTTCAAGATGAACGTTGTCTTGGAGGCCAAGACCGCCTTGACTCCTGAGACGCCCATGTGGTTGACATGAGAAGAAACGCCATGATGGAACTCGTGTCAGATGCCTGTGTCTGTCACTCTCGGAGAGTTGACTGACGTTGCACGATAGGAGCTTGTGCCCGCTCCAATTCCGTCGTCCGGGAGCAAGACACTCTGCGTCGATCTCAACCTGCCAGGGCACTGGCAAGTGCCATTCCTCCTGTGGGAACAGCCTTTGGAATGTGATCTGGGGCACGTACGGCAGGTTTCGGACATGGTCCTCTTGAATCGAATCATCCTGACACGGTCGCTCACCACATCTTCACGTTCCTCTTCTCTCACCTGATCCTCACCACATCTTCAAGTTCCCCTCCTCTCGCCTGGTCTGGTCCTCAGCAGCCACGTCACAGGGCCTTGGAGGAGGAACGCATCAGAGACGATGAAATCCGCAGCAGGCACATCATGTGTCAGGCTCTGTGATCTCGGGCATTGCTGTGGTTCCGTTGCCGGCTCCCAATCTCAATCGCAAGCGAAGTCAGCTAGTTCCAGTGGAATCTTCATGCCTGACGACCGAGACTCTGCCTGGGGAGGTAACCGAGCATCTGACCGTCCTCCGTCGCCCACCAGCACTGAGCTTTCCAGCTCCCGTGAACACCGCTTTGAAGATGAACACCGCGTGGCAGAAGCATAGCGCCGTGAGGAACAATAGTGCCGTGAGGAAGAATAGCGCCGTGAGGAAGAATAACGCCTTGAAGATGGACGCTGCTTGATGGTGAACGTCGCCTTGCAGATGATATTCAGAGGCCTTGAAGGGAAATATTCATATAGAAGGTGAGGAAAGCATAACGAAGGAGGAGCATACAAAAGCAATACTGAAGAGAAACATTCGAGTGGAACGCTCAAGGAGATGTGCCAGAAGAACATCCAACAGGATCATGCGAGAAGAATATGGGAAACGCAATATAGAAGAAGGCGACATGGAGAGGGGCCTGTACGGCTTACCTGCTGGAGTTGGATCATTCTGGGCCCCACCGTTGGTGGCTCTACAGCCTCGGCCGGAAAGGTATTTAAGCTGGAAAGGTCTTCTCAACCCTTGGAGAAAGATGACAAGGACGATAAGGACGATATCGACACGGCAGGAGAGACCGGTGCGGCAGAAGACGCTGGTGCAGAAGACGGTGATGCAGGAGATGCCGATGAGGGTGAGGGGAGATGAACCAACAAGACGCTCAGTAGGTAACCTGCAAGAGGGAGGCACCATGAAGAAGAGGACAAAGGGAGATAGAACAGGGGTGTTCCCCGTATGCAACGTGTTAGACCAAAAAGGAAATACAACGAGCACCTGCCACGGCAGGGAAGAACATGTCAGGGCCGCCTTGAAGAGGAACATAGAAACGGAACACGCAATCGAAAGGGCAAGTAATCGAAAGGGCAAGTAATCGACAGGGCATCCAATCGACAGGCCGTGGGCCATGGGCTAGTGGGACATCGGGCCATGAGAGATCATTTCTTACATATAAGAATATGTTCCATCATTTCTTCCTTCTCTTTCTCTCTCATATCATGGTGGCGAGAATCCGTTTCAACCCAGCCTGGGCAGCACGCGCCGCGGCATTCCGAGGATTGATAGTTCTGTAAACAGACTCAGGTGGCACCAGAGTGTCCTCTTATAGGTCGATTGGCCCCTGGTGGAACAACTGAGGCGCATGCCTTCCAGGAGGCCGCGAGAGGGTGTGAGTCTGTCTGTCTGTCTCGGGTGCCGACCTCGATGCCAATGTCACAATCAGTTTTGCTTGCGAATCCGCCCCGACATCTCTCGGGGACCCCACGAAGTCTTCAGCGGGCATCCAATCGAAAGGGGAACATGCAATTGAAAAAGGAATATAGAGCATGAACATCCAAGAGGAACAGGCAAAGGGTAACATACAAAATGCGATCTGAAAGGGAAACATGAACGAAGAATATTCCACATGGAACATGCAAAAAGTAACACGAAATTGAAAGACGAGGGCGAAAAAGGAACAAAGGGGGGAAACAGGCAAGAGGAACATATAGAACGCATTAATCAAAAGGCAGCAAGGAAGAAGGACATGAAACGGCCACCTGAAGGAAGCCGCCTGGAAGAAGAAGCCGCCTGAAAGACAAACATATAAAAGACAATATAGAAGAAGGAACATGCAAGAGGGACGCTCAAGAAGGAGGAAGACGGAGGAAGATTCCACATGGAACGTGCAAAAAGCAATATACAAGTGAATCATCCTCGGGTTGGAATTGAAATTTGAAAAGTGAAAGTCAAAGTAAAAGGTTGACACGCAGGAGTGGTGGTTGACGACTTCACAGAGAATGAAAGGGTACATTTCAGAGGGACAAAAAGTGTAAGTGTAAGTGAAAGGTCGACGGGTGGAAGTAGTTGTTGACGATTTTGCAGAGAGGATGACAAGGTGCATTAGCGGTGACAGACGTACCCTGTGCCAGTGGTGTACACAACCTGAAGCAAGAGGGACAGGCAAAGACCGCCTCGAAAGGGAATAAAATGGAGGAATAAACAGAAGGTAACATGGAAGCGGTGATATGAAGGAAGCAGCATGAAAGAAGTAACATAAGAGAAGAATGTAGAAGAAGATGGTAGAAAGCCCGCCTCGAAGACGAACGAATAGAGGGGAATGGGCAAAAGTCGTATGAACAAGAACATAAAGGAAGGCAATATGGAAGAAGTAACAGAAAGGAAGATGATGCAAAAGCTGCCTCGAAGACGAACAAACATGGGTGAATATGTAAAGGGAACATGCGAAAGGCAGCATACAAAAGGAGCATGAGCATGAACTTGGAAGAAGCAGCATGGAAGAAGCAACAGACGAGAAGCAACAGGCTGCAAAGCCGCCTTGGAGACGATTCGAGAGGATTCGCGAGAGGTGCAAATGTACCGTGCGCCGACCGTCAAAATGCTGAGTATGCCGGTCCGGATGGGGATTCCGATGGTCGTGTCGACGGCTAGATCAAGCAGGTCAAGTGAGCAGGGACTTGACTGGTATTCCGCCACTGTTTCAGACCCGGGTGTAAGTAACTTGCTGTTTGACAGCATTCGCCACAGTCTCGCCTATCTTGTCAGAGGAGAAAGGTGACATGAGGAGGACGAATGTGGGGGAAACATGGAGGAATATGAAAAAGGCAGCCATATAAAAAGGAATATAAACATGAACATGATGATGGCAACATGGGAGGAGCAACATGGAAGAAGCAGGAGGTTGCAAAGCCGCCTTGAAGGCGACGGAACGTGGGAGGAATATGGAAGAATATGCAAAATATAACATGCAAAAGGCAACGGCGACATGCAAAAGGAATGTGAAGATGAAGTAGGGACATGAAGAAGGGCCATAGACATGGACGAGGGATGATGAAGCGGGATGATGAAGGGGGAAGATCAAAGGGGGAAGATCAAGGGGTGAGACGAATATAAGAAAGGGATATGAACATACCGAGCAAGTCCCCTGGCTTCCTAGCACAGCCTCCGACGGTGTTATGGGCAAACATCTGCAGACGTGACCAGACAAGACCCTCTGACACGTCGGTGGAACAAATCGTCGTGGTCTGCCTCGTCTTGCCACCAACCAGTTGAACCTCCATCCAGCCTCAGGTCGTATGTAAATTCTTCCTTCCCACGTCCAAGTAACCTCAAATCTCCACGGGAGGGACCCTGTGGCGGTCCAGCAGTTGTTTGACTTGGACGTACCGGTACAGTCGACAGAACCAGCGGATGGATGAATGAGGTCGTACTCCGACGCCTGCTGCTGCTGCTCGAATATCAAGATCCCAGCTTCTAAACTGTTTTTACCACACAGGCTTCTTCTTTGACAAGATGGCCAAGATTGTTGTCTGAGTCAAGACCACCGACGACGTCCAATCGGTACGACGGAATCGTGGGCCACATTGAAAGCCAGACCCGGCAACTTCGACGTGACGGTTGATGATAGCCCACGGAAAATGCCGGCGAGACGAGACAGAGCAGCTGAGCTCCTCGGCACGCAGGAGGTTATCCTCGTCAAGCACACGGGCAGTGTGGCATGACGAATGAACTGCCGCATCGAACGAGTCTGCGCCATCTTATCCAGCAACACAACACGCCTTGTACCGCATATTTGAATGCTTTTCCCAAGGTTTGGCGATGAGAATTCAACAATGAGTCTTGTGCGCTTTCGTGTCCGTCTCAGTCCCGGCGGGAGCTTCGGTAAGGAGCGTGTTACCGTATGAAGATCCACGATCAACGATGTAGGACAGCAAAGGGCGAAATCGACCCTGAAACTCTGGAGATGGACGAAAATCCAACAACGATCGGGGGGAAGGTGGTATCATCCCGGGTTCCTTGTAGCATCTCCAAGTGCAATAGTCTTCACAAGGCTCCAATCTTCGATAGTCTTGGACAAACAGCTTCCGATTGCTCGCAACAGGTACTTGTTACTCTCCGAAACGAGGACGGTGTTCGAGAGCGTGATGATATCCTTCCGGCAGCCACAGAAGAAGCCCACTTGCGCGCATATCCCGGAGAGCGGAAAGGACATGCGTCTTTGGAATTCTGCCGCAAGGGCGACACCGGTCAATGTCTTTAGCTAGTTTCGCGAGGCGTGAGAGGTGCCGGTGTAGTGATCTCCGGGTTCCGACTCTGCTGAGGCGTGATCGGTGAATGTAAAGGCTGGCTAGACTCGAAAGGAGATCCAAGGCGCCCTCCCACTGGCGTTTGCGAAGCCATTGGCCATGTCACCGCCACTTGTGATGTCTCACGGTTCGAGGTCAAAGGCCCGATATTCGAGTCTCGAAACCAAGGAGGCGTTGTGGCTGATGGACTGACCGGACGCTTGGCCGCGGCATGTGCTTGCGTCTGTCGAGGAAACATCGATCGGCCTGCTCTGGCGTTTTGGAGGGCTTGCTCGTTCCGCTAGACAGGACTTGAAGGATTCGTGGTTGAGTCGAGGTCCAGCGAATGATCTCTAGTCCAGCATCGCCGTCGGCATCACGGCATTGTCCTTTCAATTGCCAAAAGCAAC